TTGTTGTGAGATGTCTCGGATGTTGTGAAAAGTATTTGAATCGTAATAAATATTATAAACCAATAAATGTTTTGCAAGAGGTGCCTGCCGCTGAGTGCAAATCCGGTTTTTTGGATGATGAGACAGCGAATTGGGCGACGTTCTGAAATAGGATTTTACTGAAAGTAAAGTATAATTGCAGTAACTTGTTATTTGGACACCGAACCAGGTTATTTTGCCGATCGCTCTCGGCGACCTGGATCGGTATTCGGCTAAGTTCAATTACGCAAGGGATTTACGACAACTAATTAGTCACTCGATGATTTCAGTTGAACTGCCGCCTAGCCAGCGGAGTGGTGTCATTTAAGGCTAAAACAATGCGAAGAGAAATGCTTTGTGGCCAGCAGCGTTATAAACCTGACCAATCTGACAGCCTGGCCAATCCAAGTAATCTAGGTAAAATGTAACTGACAATGAGATATAATGTATATTCAGGTTTATCCAGTTAATGATCGATAATTGTACAAAAAATCGTTTCATTCTGTCTGTTCTATTTGCTGGAATTTGACATTTCTTTTATTTCTTCACATATTCCTATGTATATGATGAAGCTCACGTTAGAAACATTTTCCTACGGTAGAATTTTGATGTTCGCATATTGAACTAGTTGTTTTAGTTAGTGACACATTCAAATTTCCGCGCAAAGAAAATGCGCGCGGTGCGGCGGCAATGATGCCAAATCTTTTTGCCGCTTAAAAGTATTCTGCCGTTTCTAAAATTTTTCATGGGTTTCTTGGTGTTGGAAGGAGTTTTCTCGATTGATTTTATCGTTCGAGTCGCAGATAATTTCGGCATTTTTAGAATACTTGATCGATGAATTTAAATAGGTGGATTTGATCGGTGAAATTGAAGGGTTTAGATGAAAGGTTATGTAAATTTCACATCAGCAATCGTTGATGATTGTGGTGTGAATAATTCCGATCAGTTTCATTCAACGAACTGATTTGGTGGCTTGTGGTTGCTTCGAGCGCATCCTGTTTAATTGATAATTTCAGTTGGTGAATGCTTGATTGGTAACTGTTTAATTAGTAATAGCGGTAATTTTTCTTCTCTTCGGGTGCATCTATTTTTGTTTCTCTGTTGAAAATTTGTCTGATTTTTCTTTTGTTGATAATCTTTCTGAATGACTTCGATTGACGATTGAGCAGATAGCCATGTTTACTTAATAAAATGACGTTGTTGCGCTCAAGTTTTACATTGTTTCATCACCCAACAAACAAATGTAATTATCGTTTTTTCGCAAATGCAGCAATGAAATTTCGATTTTGTTGAGCACGAACACTATGCATTTCTGAGATAAAAAGTTCTCTGAATTTCATCTTAAAAGTAATTCATTCATTCTTTTTATTGAGGAAAAAATTCCTAATCTTTAAAAATCGAAATGCGTTAGGTGTTTCGAATAATTAGTGAAATGTGAGCCGAGCAGATCAAATGCCATGCAAAATCTCAGCGATATTGCCTCAATCTAATAGTGTCACTGTTGCTAAGGGTTTCTTCTTTTCTTCATTTGGGTTTCAGGTTATTCAGTTGAGTCTTTAAGTATGTATGTACATCTGCGTTCGTATGTTTCATTTGAAGGGAAATCCGCGTGTATACGTACGTATCCCTGCGCGTTTGTATGTAAGCCTGTTTTCGGTGAGAATCTCCTTACATGTAGTTCATTATTCGTATACGTAATATGTATCCTTTGGTTGTATGCATAGGTATTAGATCGTTGTGTACAGTTGTTGCATTAGATGTAGTGCAGTTGCGACGTGATATGATGCTCTGTGTGATGTCTATGATATTTTTTCGATTCTCTCAGATATAGAGTAGGACGAAAGACGTTAGTGCTGCCTGCAGAGAATGATAGCATATAGCAGAATATTGCCATCGTCATTCAGTGTCGTTATAAGAACGCAGCCTTAGTTCGTTGATTGGCCGGCCGTTCGTTATTCGTCCAGTTGCTTGCCTGCGTACGTTCCCTTCTCTGCTTCACGCAGCAGTGCCGATCCAATTTTTGCAATTGATTGGACCATCGCATTGTTGAATTGTGATTGGGCATTGGTGCTGTGCGTTGATGAGAAGTGTAGAGATGTGTGTGTGTGTATGAATAAATAAGCAAGTAAAAAGTACATTTCGCAATATGTTTCTCTACTCTGCGTTTCGAGCAGCCCATTACACCGCTTATATATTCATCCCACATCGTCGCAAAATGACTCACCCATTGTTCGACATTGTGTTTCTGCAGCGTATCAACTTCGTTTGCTCCGTTATTCTGTTGTCATCAAGTTTGCTAGAAATTCGTGGATTTCTGCTTGGATTATAATGCTCAAACCGTAGTTAAGATGTGATTTTGATTTCTCATTCAAGTTGTTAAGCGTATAGCATTTGGAAATGAATTTTTCGTTGAAATATTGAACAAAACAAGCGATCCATTTTGAAAGATGGATTATTCATGTGTGGATAATGTTGCTTGCGTTTCGGAGAAAGTATGAAGGTCATCGAAAGATTGTAGAATTTTCTGGATAGAACTGTCAAATGAATGAAGGGAACTCGATGTGTTCGTTCAGTGTGACTTCGGAATTTGATGACTATAGCTGTTAAAAATTTCAGTAAGGTTGTAGAACGGAAATGATTCAGAATAAAATGAATTTCATTTATAAATGTTGCTAGATAACAATGGTAAAAGGCAATTTATCCTTGCGATGGGTGTTGTACCCTAGGAGGCCGTCTTCTTGTTTAATCAAATACGATATGTGCACTGTGCTGTGCTCTTTTCATAGCAATATTTTAAATGATGTTCTGTTGCGTAGTAGTTTGTCTGCGTGTGTTACGTTCATATTCTACTACTGGCAGCAGCAGCAGTAAGTAGTGTTGCTAGTGATGAAACATTGGATGCATTCACTCACTACTGAAGAACGTTTTCTCGCGTTGCGGTTGTGCGTTCGATTTTCAACCGTTTTGTATGCGTTCTGCTGCAACGAACCAGTGAAAGGGGTCGAATGTTCCATTGACGTATTGATTGGGTCGATTAAATGGCTTAATTCCAGGTCGTTCTATATCGTACCGGTCACCTTATTCAATCAACACAATGAGAGAAGTCATTTCGGTTCACGTTGGTCAAGCTGGCGTCCAGATTGGTAACGCCTGTTGGGAGTTGTTCTGCTTGGAGCACGGTATTCAGCCGGATGGCCGTATGCCCTCGGACAAACAAGGACAAGTAGATGATTCATTCTCGACATTCTTCTCGGACACGGGCACTGGCCGCCATGTGCCGCGAGCTATAATGGTTGACTTGGAGCCAACGGTAGTAGACGAGATCAGAACTGGCACCTACAAGCAACTGTTCCATCCGGAGCAGATGGTGACTGGTAAGGAAGACGCAGCGAACAACTACGCGCGCGGCCATTATACCATCGGCAAGGAGGTAATAGACCTCGTGCTCGACAGGATCAGACGTTTGTCCGAGAATTGCACCGGACTACAAGGTGATCGGCGTTCATTTTCTCTTTAATTTCGATTTTAATTTGAGTAGTAATGTGAAGTTTTGACATGCTTTGTCGTGACATCTGAATCTTATCGGTTTTATATTTTCAGGTTTCTTGATTTTCCATTCGTTTGGAGGTGGAACTGGTTCAGGTTTCACCTCGTTGTTGATGGAGCGTCTGTCGGTCGACTACGGTAAGAAGAGCAAGCTGGAATTCTCCATCTATCCAGCACCTCAGGTGTCAACAGCTGTTGTTGAGCCGTACAACTCGATCTTGACAACTCACACTACTCTGGAACATTCAGACTGTTCATTCATGGTCGATAATGAGGCCATCTACGACATCTGCAGAAGAAATCTGGATGTCGAACGACCATCATACACGAATCTGAATCGCCTCATCTCACAGGTTCGTCGTTCGCCGGGGTTCTTCCTGTTTTAATATTACTCAGATTCAACGCGAATTTCATGATTAATAATGAGCGTAATTTCCAGGTAGTGTCGTCAATCACTGCATCGTTGCGTTTCGATGGAGCATTGAACGTCGATCTGACGGAGTTCCAGACCAACTTGGTGCCTTATCCACGTATTCATTTCCCTTTGGCCACCTACGCACCAGTAATATCAGCCGAGAAGGCATATCACGAATCCCTTTCCGTCAGCGATATCACCAACTCATGCTTCGAGCCGTGCAATCAAATGGTCAAGGCAAGTATTTTGTGACTGTCAAATTTGAATGAAGGATCATCTGATTAATAATTGCTCGAAGGAATATAGATTGTAGTTTCATTGACGTTCGTTTCAAAAGAATCCGAATGGATGTTAAATATTTCAGTGTGATCCTCGCCATGGCAAGTATATGGCTGTATGTTTGCTGTACCGAGGCGATGTGGTACCGAAGGACGTGAATGCTTCAATCGCTTCAATCAAGACCAAAAGAACAATTCAATTCGTGGACTGGTGTCCAACCGGCTTCAAGGTTTGTTGATTTTATGACATATTGATCAGTGATCATGAATAACAATTGATGTGAGTNATAACGTTTTTGTTTTGAGGTCGGTATCAACTATCAACCACCGACAGTTGTGCCAGGTGGAGATCTGGCGAAGGTGCCAAGAGCAGTGTGCATGTTGGCAAACACGACGGCGATTGCTGAGGCATGGGCAAGACTTGACTACAAGTTCGATCTGATGTATGCCAAGCGTGCTTTCGTCCATTGGTACGTCGGTGAGGGCATGGAGGAGGGCGAATTCTCTGAGGCCAGGGAAGATCTCGCAGCACTCGAGAAGGATTATGAGGAGGTTCGTTGTGAAACTATGTTGTGATATTGGATTGGAAAAACTTATATTTGAATAGATTAATTTATTGTTTGAGATTACGTTCATTACGATTGAAAATTTCAGGTTGGAATCGATTCATTGGAAGGTGAAGGTGAAGGAGAAGGCGAGGAGTATTAAGGCGATTGGCAAATGATTAATGTTTCAACGGTTTCATCAATGCTGTGTTTTATTGTTTTATAATTATCATTCTATATGGTCTCGTTCTCCAGCATCTTTTTATTACTAAGAATCTGTTCACTGTGTCGTCATTCCTGTTCGTTTCAACATAATATTTCATCGATAGTTTTACGTTCGCAGTTTGATTTGCATTGATTTTACGGAACAGAATGTTTTATGGTGTCGATTATCGTGCATAATCTCGAATTCATTCGCTTTCTTATTTCATTAATGACATTGAACAATAGCACTCGTGTTAAGTGAACCCCTCAACATATGTTCCTGTTTTGTGTTGATCGTTCCATCTCTATATGAAGTTTTAGAAGTGTTTGATCCCGTCCTCGACCTATACGTGAAGTGTTTGTTTTATCCCATCTGCCCAGTCAGTTATGATTTCATCTCATATCGTCGGTTTTATGCGTTTTATCAGATTTGTTTTAGACCAGTGACAGATAAATCTTATTTTTAAACAACGTTTCTTGTGATCTTCACACCTTAAAACTTTTATGAGGTTTCCGCACCACAAAACAGTTTACTACATGAAAGATGTGATATAAAGGAGTGTTCTTTGGATGACGA